CCTGGCCTCAGTTTTAGGAGCTCTGGTGGTGTAATGCCTAAGGCATTTGACTGCTAACCAGAAGGCTGATGGTTCAAACCCACTAGCCACTCCTCAGAAGGAAGACTGGGCAATCTACTTCCACAGAGATACCGTCTCGGAAGCCCAAGGGGGGATCGCTATGAGTCAGAACTGACTCGATGGCAGTGAGTTTGGTTTTTGTTTTTTTGGCCTCAGTTTGTTCATCCATTCAAAGGGGCCAACTCAGCCCAGGCAGAGGTCTCACATAAAGGGGGTTGTTATTGTTGTTGTTATTTGCCATCGAGTCGACCCCGACTCATAGCGACCCCTCCTTGGGTTTCCGAGGCAGTATCACTACGGAAGTAGGATTGCCCAACCTTCCTTCCGAGGAGTGGCTGGTAGGTTTGAACCGCCAGCCTTCTGGTTAGCAGTCAAGTGCCTTAGGCACTATGCTACCAGAGCTCCTTACACATAAAGGGGGAGAAGAGGGAAATTCTAGCTGATCCAGGGAGAGAGAGAGAGAAATGTCTCTTCCCTGTCCTTCTCCAGAAGCTGAGCTCAGCTCCTGTCCTCTGGGCTCCCCGCTGGAGTCTTACATGCTGACTCATCATTCTGGCTTCCTCTTTGAGGCACAGGGCCCCAGGCCTTGAGTCAGGCCTTGGATGGGACTCTTGGGAGTTGGGTCCCAAGAGGAACTGCAGCCTCAGGCCATCAGAAAAACACAATGCCCTCTTTCTTCCCAGGTCCATGCGGAGGCTAGCCAGGAGGGAAGCTCTCAAGGCACCAAGGTTCCACTGAAATGTGCCATCCGACCTGGAGGGGGCAGCCTGAGGCCAGTCCATGGCCATCCTGCAGAGCCTGGGCCCTTGGGCCCTTTAGAATTAGACTGATTGGGCTAATCTCTCAAGAACACCTGATTTACACTACAAGACAGAAGAGACAGGCAGAAAGGAAGCAGAGGGGAAGGAAGGGGCACCTACATTCTGCTTTGCACATTTCCTCCCCAGAAACTTCCTAAAGATGCTATTCATTGTTGCCTCTCCAAAAGCAGCTGGGCTGACATCAAGACCTGGTACCTCTTCACCTTCGATCCCGGCCAGGAGATCTGGAAAGGGGCTCTAGACAACCAAGTTCTCCCCGGGGCTAGGCCTTGGGCCTTCGGCTCCCTGTCTCTGGGCCTCAGTTTCCTGTCTGTAAAACGGGAAGAGGTTGGCCAGGTCTGTGTGTGCGTCTATATTCCGTTCCAAGTGATCCATCCGAAGGTTAGCAATCCTGGATTTCTTCCTGTTATGGAAGAACTTCCTGTTTGGGAGAGGATGCTTTGACGCTCCCCAAGAGTCAAATCCAATATCAGCAGCCAAGCAGCCAACTCCATTCCTGGCATTCTGGCTGCTCACTTACTGGGGAGCCAGGCACAAGGGAAAGGGCTAGGAAGGCAGAGCCGGTCACTCTCATGCAGATGACCATGTGACAGCACATGAGTCCACGCAGCTAAGAAGTCAGGCCACTCCTCGCACCAGAGCACCACTCCTTTTGAGACTTCCTGTTACTCTAGTGACCCTATGTGACAGAGTAGAACTGCTCCATAGGGTTTCAAGGCTGTTCAGAAGCAGTCCTTTCTTCCAAGGTACCTCTGGGTGATTCACACCACCAGTCTTCTGGCCAGTAGTCGAGCACACATGGGGTCACTATGAGTCGGAATCGACCGCACAGCAACTGGTTTGGCTTTTGGTTTCACCATTTACTGGCCACCTTCCCAGCCCTCTACCTTCAGAGGCCTCCACCCTATGCCATCCTGGCCCAGGTGCCTGCTCAGCCCCACACATTACCACCCAGCACTCTGGGCAGTACGTTCACCTGCACGTCTCCCCACCTGCTGGCTAGCATCTTGAAGGCAGGTGCTGGGCTTCTTGCTCTCTGGAAGTTGCTTATTTCGATTCATGTTTGTGGAACTCAGTAAAGACTCCAGAATGTCTACACAGGAGGAGGCGGGGGTAGCAGCTTGACCCTAAGCCGCATGCACATAGGAAGAATATGGTTTGGTTTAGATTATGGTGTCATTTGAGGTGGCTTAAGAGAAGGTTGCAGTCCCAGGTGGCACCAATAGTTAAGTGCTTGTGGTTTGAACTCACCTAGAGGCACCTAAGAAAAAAGGCCTGGTGATCTGCTTCCCAAAGGCCACAGCTTGGAAAACTCTAAGGAGCAGCTCAACTCTGACACACATGGGATGATCATGAGCGACTGCACAGCAACTGGCTGGGTGTGTGGGTTTTGCTGTTGTTGTCAGGGGTTTAGATTAGGAGAAGGTGAAGTGTGGCTAATGGCCATTATGAGGGGCTAAAGCCCCTGTGTTAGCACTGGCTGAACTTCCTTTGAAATGTACATGGCTCTCAGTAAAAACGCAACACACCGTTGTCAACTCGGATCCGACAAGC